GGTTTTTTTGCTTTTAACTGGACACTTCAGAATTATTTTTGAAATGGTTCATTTTCTCATAAAATCCTTAAGATCACACAGAAAGGAATGGTTTAAGTTTTAGAAATTTGCTTTTACTGTTAGGATGTTAGGCTTTTTTCAATATTTGAAAGTCAGCAGGTGGCTGTATCCTGTTTTCAGATTAGAAATACCTCACCTCTTAGGCTTAGATGTTTCTGTGAGGCTACCCTTTATGTCATTGTTTTATTCTGCGCTCCCCCACCCTGCCCACACTGCTCATAGTTGGTCTCTTGAGTGGAAAAACAAACTTCACAGGCGGTTTAAATAAAGCCACCTAGAAATACATGGTTCAAAGCTCTTCAACTGCTCTGCCTAGAATGGAATATCATAGTTGCTCACTAGAGAATAAATTATGTTGGTCTGCAGTTCAGTACATATTTGGTAGTAGACTCATAGACTGAAATTTAAGCCAAGGACTTGATCTATTTTGGAAGTGTCTAGTTCTCCATATTTCAAAATAAAACACACACAAGATTATGCAGAAGAGAAAATAGTAGCATTGTTATACATACTTTGGTACTTGTGATCCTATTAATTAAATATTAATTATATAACTACACATAAATATATTTTGTAAAAATTTATAAATATTTCAAGTAATTCATTAGAATTATGTTAAGAGCATGGGCCCTGGTACATGCCTTTGCTACCTATTAGCTCTGTGGTCTTGGACAATTTGGCTAAACTTTGTGCTGCATTTTCCTTTTTGTAAGAGGTACCAATATTAGTACCAACCTCACGGTTGCTGTAAGGATCAAAAGTGTTAATACGTATAATATGCTTATACAGAGCACACAGTGTTATGTTAAACCATAAGAAATTGCCAATATTTGTCCCTTTTTGATTTCCCGACAATGATTTTCATATGGTTTAGCCTAATAGAAAAAATATATTAATTAAAAAAATAATTGTTGTTGTTCAGTCAGAATCTCATATTATGGATGTGATTTACTGACCAAAATCCAGTGAATCAGTATACTGTGGTTAGAGCCTAGGAAACTAAATTAAAATCAACAAGAATCTCCCTAGGTGACGCAGATGAGCAACCAGGTTTGTGAATTCTTGACTTAACACTATTGCGCACGAAACTTATAGTGTGAAGTGAATACCAATGATAGTCAAGAGTCTAGGGCTGGCTGAGTGGCTCAGTTGGTTAAGAGCTCGCTCAAGAGTTTGAGCTCTGAGCAACAGCGGTTCGATTCCTGGCCCGAGCTGAGCAGCCGCTGAGCTGCCAACAGGTGGCAGGATGGCTCAGCTAAAAAAAAAAAAAAAAAGAGCATGAGTCTGGAGAGGAATTTTGCCTCAGAATGAATCAAACCCCATGTCTCATCCATATCTGATTTAGGTGATATATAGATGAGACTTTAAACTTTAGACATTGAGTTGATACTGGAATGAATTAAGATGTTTGGGGCTGGTGAGATGGGATGAATGTATTTTTCATGAGAAGAACATAGATTTTTGAGGGCAAGTGGAAGAATGCTGTGGACTGAATGTGTGTGTGTGTGTGTGTGTGTGTGTGTGTGTGTGTGTGTCCCAGATTCATATGTTGAAGCCCTTATCCCCAAAGTGATGGTATTTAGAGATGGGGCCTTTGGGAGGTAATTAGGTTTAGACAGGTTCATGAGGGTGGGGTCCTCATGATGGAATTAGTGCCCTTATAAAAAGAGACCAGAGAGATTGTTCTCTCTCCCCCTGCCATGGGAGGGCAGCCATCTACAAACCAGGAAGAGAATTCTCACCAGAAATTTACTATACTGGCACCTTGATCTTGGACTTCTATCCTCTAGAACTTTGAGAAAATAAAATTCTGTTATTTAAGCAACCGTCTATGGTATTTTGTTATGGTAGCCCGAGTTGACTGTGACACCTACATAATTCTTCCCTTTAAGGCCTTTGAATCATTGCTGTCATTCATTTCATTTATACATAAGCAAGCATACATAAGCATATATATGTACATAAGCATAAATAATGTCATACTTTGTTGCTATTATTATTTTGAGCAAACTGTTATCTGTTAGATCAATTAAAGAAAATGAAAGCTTTTATTTTACCTTCACTTATTCCTTCTTCCGTGCCATTACTTTCTTTATATAGATCGAGTTTCTGACCTATATCCTTTTCCTTCTCTCAGAAGAACTTGTTAACATTTCTTACAAAGCAGACCTACTGAAATCAAATTCCTTCAATTTTTATTTGTCTGAGAAAGTCTTTTATTTATTTTTTTCACTTTTGCAGGATACTTTCTAAGGATATAGAATTCTAGGCTGGTGTTTTTTTTCCTCTCAACATTAACTATTTCACTTCACTCTTTTATTGCTTGCATGGTTTCTGAGAAATTGGATTTAATTCTTATCTTTGCTCCTCTGTATTTAGGGTTTTTTTCCCTCTGGCTTCTTTCAAGATTGTTTTCTTTATGTTTGGTTTTTCTGCAGTTTGAATATGATATACCAAGCCATAGGAATATTTTGTATTTAGGCTGCTTCATGTTCTCTGGGCTTCCTGGATCTGTGGTTTGGTGTCTGACATTAATTTGGAGGACATTCTGTCATTATTACTTTACATATTTTTTCTGTTTCTTTTTTCTTTTGGTATTGCCATTATGTATATGAGAAGTTGGACAATTAAGTTTGCGAACTTGTTGCAACAGTGTTGCTAACCTTTTTTGATATCAGAGAGATTCTTCATTATGAATTTGTACCACATGGACAAACAGTTAACTAAGTTTACTATTTGGAAGTGCTGAAAAAGTTAGATGACCTGAACTTTTCACCAACAATTCATGTCTCTTGCATCACGACAATGCACCCAGCTCACACACCATTGTCTGTGAGGGAGTTTTTAGCCAGTAAATAAATAACTGTATTGGAACACCCTCCCTACTCACCTGATCTGGCCCCCAGTGACTTCTTTCTTTACCTGAAGAGAAAGGAAATGTTGAAAGGAAGACATTTTGATGACATTCAGGACATGAAGGCTAATACGATGACAGCTCTGATGGCCATTCCAGAAAAAGAGTCCAGAATTGCTTTGAAGGGTGGACTAGGTGCTGGAATTGGTGCATAGCTTCCCAAGGGGAGTACTTCAAAGGTGACCATAGTGATATTCAGCAATGAGGCATGTAGCACTTTTTCTAAGATGAGTTTGCGAACTTAATTGTCCGACCTTGATTGTTACACCTTTTGTAATTGTTCCACAGTTCTTGGACACTCTGTTCTTTTTTGTCTTTTTTTCTGCTCTTCAGTTTGGAAATTTCTATTGCAATATCCTCAAGCACAAAGATTTTTTTCTTTTTTTTTTCTTTTCTTTTTATTAGTTTCAGGTGTACAAAACAATGCACTAGTTTTCACCCCTCACAAAGTGTCAACCCCCCACCCCCAACTGCTGCCCTCCCACCCCCAATATCATACTTATCTATTACAATTCTATTGACTCCATTCCCACACTCTACTCCACGTCCCGTGACTATATGTATATAAAATTATAGTTGACATACAATATTATTTAACATCAGCTTCAGATATACAGTGCGGTGGTCAGGCTGCTACACTGTCTATGAAGTGGTCTCCCTAAGAAGACATGAGTCCATCTGGTCCCCTAAGAAATATTTACAACATTATTGATTATTTTCCTCAGACTGTCTTTTCTATGCCTTAGACCATATTGTAGTTACCAATTTATATTGTCTCATCCCTTCCCCTTCTCCCTCATCCCCACCCCTCTCCCAACTAGCAACCCTCAGTTTTTCCTCTGTGTCTCTGAGACTATTTCTGTTTACATTTCTCATTTATTCAGTTCTTTAGATTCCACATATAAGTGAGATCATGTGGTATTTATCTTTCTCTGACTGACTTATTTGATCCCCCCGCCCCCGGCTGTGTCCAATGTACTAATAAGCCCATCAAAGACAGTCTTCATTTGTGTTACAGCAGTTTTGATGTGTAGCATTTCTTTTTGAGTGTTTTTTAAGATTTCCATCTCTCTGCTTACATTACCCATTTGTTCTTGCATTGTTGTCTACTTTGTCCATTAGAGCCCTTAGAATATTAATCATAATTGTTTTAATTTCCTGGTCTGGTAATTCCAACTTCCCTGCCATATTTGACTCTGGTTCTGATGTTTGCAGTTTCTTCAAATTGTGGTATTTTTTTTTTCTGCCTTTTGGTATGCCTTATAATTTTTTTCTAATAGCAGGGTATGGTGTACTAGGTAAAAAAACCTACCGTAAATAGTCCTTCAGTAATGTGGTGAGGTGTGGGGGGAGGGTAAGTTTCTATATATAGTCCTATGATTAGGTCTCAGCCCTTTGGTCAGTCTGTGCCCGTGGACAGTGTACTTCACAAGTGCTTCTCATTCCCCTACTCGCCTTAACCCCCTTAGGTTGGACAGGATGGCTAGAAGTAGCTGGAGTCGGTTATTTCCCTTCCCCCAGGTCAGCTGGGCGCTGATAGAATCCCAATAGAATAGGCTCTGATAAAATAGTTGCTCATTTACAGAGTTAGGATGTAGAAATCCCTGATTTGATAACTTGGATATATATTATTTCTTAATATGTATATATATTATTTCAAAATATATATTTTAGAACGTTAGGCAGTAGAGATATCTGACATGTTTATACAGTATCCATCCCAGGTGTTACATGTATGTTTTCCACATTTTGCAGATGGAGGTTATAGAGAGATGTATGTTGCTTTGGAGTTGTGATATCCTAGGGACTCATGATTATTATTTTATGTTTCTCCTAAAAATGCTATTTAATTGCATTTGCAAATGTGCATAGGTAGAATAGAGGTACTAGAGTTTTGAGATTATGATGGTAAATCTTAGATTATAGAAATATTATAGGGTTTAAGAATATGTCTTAATTAGAAGCAGATTCCTGTATTATTAATATAGCTTAACTAATGTATTATATTGCATTTATGTTTTTGCAGACTGTTCTCTCTGTATAAGAAAATTTTTGTCCTATAAAACACAATGTCCAACTTGCTGTGTGGTAAGTTTTTTCTTTCCTCTTTTGTTTTATAAAACTTATTTGTTGGTGCAAATATTTCTGCTTCATATGTACACAAAAGCCCAAGGGAAGATGTGTAATTATTGAAATAAACTATATAAAAGACACTTTCAGAAAGGACCTCTAAATACGTATGTGGAGAACTGGACTTTGTTCAATTTTTCATGGACATTTCTGATAACCTAAATGTGTTTTAAGAGGTAAAATGAATCTTAAGATCAGGATGTAGCACTCTTAAAATCTTATGACCTGTGTTTTTATGGCTCCTTATTATTTGTAATTTCCCAGGTTGGGTAGAAAATCTGATGGTAGGATTATGCATTTGCAAATGACTGGTGTAAGCATTTGTGCAGAAGGCAAAGGTTCATGGCCATTGGGCTGAACCCAGCCTAACTGGTCCCTTACCTTTCCCAAAACAAACCTTCAGGGACAATACTAGAAAATTTATTGTTATGGTTTCTGAAGCTTTTCAAGTAGTGGAAATAGATAAAAAGGTAGGTTAAAAGGGAAAGTAACCTAAGCAGGATTAAAGGAAGAACAAAGAGACAGGAAGATCTAACAGAAAGGACATTCAGACTAGTTAAAGGGTTTGGGTTCTACTTTGATGCCTCTGGTAGGTACATGGTGTCAGGGTGTCATTGAACTTCTCTGAACTATTATGTAAAAACCCTGTGTGAGAAATGATAGTTTGTTTTTCGAGCCTAAGCTCTTTACAACTTAAGGCACACTGTCTTTGTCAAGATGGTATCATCGTGGACACAAACGGTATACCATTTATGCTCAGTAACTACTGGATTTATAATTTTCCTCTTGCCTTCCTGCAAATCAATCTTGTTTTTAAGAGCTCTTTGAACGTCCGGTGTCTCTCCCAATATTATCACTTAAAGCATCTCTATTCTGTTCTTCAGGAGAAATTTTTGGGAAAGCTGACTGCTGGCACTTGTAAGAAGAATTCTTGACTTATGTTAGGTTTTATCTTAGGATAGACTACATATGATTTTACCGGATGCTTTGGAGAGCTTTCGTCAGACTTCCAGTCAGCTGATACTGATTCATTGTTTTTAAATTCCATCTTAGTATGAAATAAATGAACTTTTTTTTGAGGCTTTCCTGGAAGACTTAGTAGGATAGGGAGTCTCAGGAGGATGGGTAGGTCACACTTTTTCAAAAACAAGATCATGACAAGTAAATTATTGTTTCTGACCTTTTCTTATCTGTTGTTTTTCTTTTCTAGACAGTCACAGAGCCAGACCTGAAAAATAACCGCGTATTAGATGAACTGGTAAAAAGCTTGAATTTTGCACGGTATGATTTAATTTTGTGACTAATCCCTAACAACTTTGCCTTTTATATGTGTCCCCTCTTTACTCTGTGCACTTTTGGGTATTAGGGAATACAGGGTTGCATATTTGGGGTATAGACGTGACAACAGTCATTAATCACACATGGACATTCTAATGGTAATAGGATTTTCTTCCTTTACTCAACAGAAATTCTGTTATGAAAAACAAGAGTTGAAATGCAGATTTGAGTACTTACTTTTGGGTACCACAAAGATACTCCAGCTTCCTCTTTTATTTTTCCTGCCCCAGCCCTAGAGTCAACAGTTTTCCTAAGGAGCCCTAGTTCCTTTTATTGGAGAATGGTACACCTTGGATTGCAAGTTAACTTGGTTTGCAAGTATTCTGCAAGACGAGCAAACATTTCTAATACATTTTAATGTGGTAAAGGAGCAATGTTTTGCAATACGAGTAGTTTTTTTCTGGAACGAATTATGCTCACAAACCAAGGTATTACTGTATGTAGAAGTCAGCATCTGGAGCTAGCTATGCTCATTGTTACTGGGGTGTCATTGCTTTTAGGCCCTCTCAGTGGACAAAGCTGGGTAACATGCATGCATACATATGTGTATACTAACCCATGTATACACACACATATTCTGTGTCTGTTACATATTAATCCATTAATTCTTAATCTGATTTACTCAGCATGTATAAAATGATGTCACGTGAAATATGTAATTGGTTCTTTATAAAGCTCAGAAATGTAGTTTTACTTCTTAACTGTCAAATGCATGATGGTGAAAGTGAGTTTGGTCACCCAAAGGGACATAAACAGGAACGTTTTACCAAACAGTATATTGAATTATTTTTGGTTTTAATCATGCAAATCAAACAGGAATTTTTATTAGGAATATACTGTGTTAAGTTATGGTTAGGTGCCCACCTGCTTAAGTGTACAACTTTCGGGATTGTTGGGGCATTCTTGGTGGTACATTATATTGCTTCTAAAAATGTAAAGAGATTGCTTCCAGTAGAATTGCACATTTATTCATTGGTTTGCATCCTAAAAGTGATCAAATTTAGTACTCTGAACTTGCCTAAAATGACATTCTAGCAATTGGCTCGTTAGTTATTTCCCAGCAAAATCATGAAAAGATGGTATGCTTTCCTAGGTTAAGAAACTAAGATTGTCTGATTCTCATAATTAAAGTTATTGTTTTTTTAATTTTAAAGTCCATTACGAGTCAGATTTTGAAGTCTATGAGAAAAGATGGAGATATGTCTTTTAGAAGGGAACTTATTGACTGATTTTTTTCTGAGGCAGAAAGATTGAATCTCAAGGCTATTTTTTTCATCAGCTGGTTATTAAAAGCATAGCAACCTTTCTGCTAGGAAAAAGGTAGAGTTACAAAGAACATCTGTTTGTTGAAGAGCAACGATCAGTGTCTTTGGGTTCACAGACCTTTTGATAATTTAAAGGGAGGCCTTGGAATGACTGAAAGGAATAGCTATTTAATTATTCATTATAGTGTGTGTGGTGGGGTGGATTTTATCCTTTGCTTCTTCCTGTGTTTGCCTTCTTAGAATTGCCATTCTTCTCAGAATTGCCTTATGGTGAACATTTCTTGGACGTTTGTCTATCTAAACTGCTGTGGTATCTCAGTTGCAACATTAGAAATGAAATTGAAAGTAATCATTTTCATTACTTTTTTTTTTTT